TAGGAATGATTCTCCAAGAATTGAGGCAGGTGTTGTTGACTTTTGCTGGTTTACTTCAGAGGTTTGACTTAAAGAATATAAGCAGAAAGAAAACACAAATTGTCCTTCTTATGCCAATTCAATTCATCTTGGCTTTCCAGACTCCCTCTCTAATTCATCTTCACTTTCTCATACTGTCATGGGAGAAGAGATGTCTCCAAAAAGGGACTAAAGTATTCCCTGAAAGAAGGGGGAACTTGACTCAGAGCCAGAGGGATTCTTGACAGAATGTGACAGAGATGAATTTCAACATGCACCAGTCAGAAACAGAGATAGATGTTTATTAACACATTCAAGGGGAAAATAGGGGGAGGGGTGATCTCAAGAGAGAGAGGCCTTTTGCAGTAAAGTAAGGAGTACACATCCAAGGGAGTACACATTCAACAGCAATTTTTGGGGACTCATTTCTACTGTTTCAGCAACTGTACAATAACTTCCCTTTCTTTTTCTCCCATGCAGGGTATCTCTAGCAGGAGAGACAGCAATCTGTTGATGTGGTGTGGTTGCTGGGTGTTGGAATAGAGGTGAAACTAGATCAGAGCTGAAGCCAGAATTAAGCTTCTTACTTTCTATCCAATACTTGCCTCTGCATGCTTCTCTGGTATTATACTTCAACATTCAGTCAATCAGAACTCGTCAAGGTAACCAGCAATATCAGAGCTACACAATTTCATGCCAGTTTCCCCTGCACTTGATTATTGCCCTCAGGTACCTTTTTCAGACAAGGACATGGGTCAAAGGTGTTGGCCAAGGGCATGGGCTGCTTCATTCAGAAGTTGCAATTGTCCTGGGTGCTTTCTGCATTTCAGTGGTTCATGAGGGTTTCTGTGCAGACTCAATATCTCTCCCTTTATTCCCAAGTTCCTACTTGATACAACCTGCCCCTCACTGTGTCCTGTTCACCAGAATCTTAATAAATCCTTTGCTGGAAAGTCCCCAGATATAAAAACCATGACCTACATATGTGATATACAGACCATTTCTATAATTCTTTCTCAAGTTCCTCCTTGTCTTGCTACATTTTCCCCACCACAAACTTTTTACTATTTCTTTAATCAAATTCCCATATTTATATATCTTCCCTTATTTTAATGAGAAGGTTATTGAGAAGATGTATAATTATTGATTGTAACAAACCCTTTTGTCTGAGCCAAAAATACAAATGTGAACTACTTTATAATATGTTGAGATTAAGAGAAAGCAAATAGAGTCTGTTAGTTGTGGAGCAGGCTGAACAAATGTTAGCTGCAGGATGGGCTGAACACTCGGCCCTCACCCTCACCCATCTGGTTTCTTATCACTTGTTTGCCTCAAGTCTGAACACTCAACCCCACTCAAGGCTGAACACTGGACCCCCACCTGTCTGGTGCAAGGGAAACCCACATCTAGCCCCTTCCCAGTCTTCCTGAGGGCAGAAGATGACACCCTTAGCAACTACTGTATGATCCAATCACTGTACGACAACCAGGCAGCTTGCAGACCCAAAGACCCCATTAGATTTTGGCTATAAAAATTCTTTCTTGCTGGGCCTCCCTCTCTTACTCTCTTGTTCTTCTCTCTCTCACACTTTCTCACCCCTCTCCCCTCTTTCTTCTTTCTCTCACCCTTCCTCTCACTTTTCTCTCTTTCTTCTCTCTTTCCTTTCTCTCTCTCTCTCCCTCCTATCCTTTGCAAGTCATTACTGAGTGTGGGCCATGATCTAGTCACCTTTATGCCTCTCTCTCTCTCTCTCTCTCTCTCTCTCTCTCTCTCTCTTCCTTCCCTGTTAATCATAAATAATTGCAAGATCTCTTGGTCACTCCAAGTGTCATGGTCACTTTCTTTTAATAATCTTACCATCATAATTTTAAAAAATAAATGAAAGTAGAAAACAGGCTATGGCCAAAACATCTCTGTGAGGTCATGAGCAAGGGCCTTTTTTCACTGAACAGATATTACTTCAACATTTGGAAATAGCTGGCCTATAGGATGTTAGGAGAAATACAACTTCCATCCTCGCTCTTAGAAGGCAAGACTTCAGGTTCATTCAGTATTTAGTAAGTTGTGCTGTTACAGGAGAAGATGTGTCTCTAGAGAAAGGTCTAAGGAGTTTCCAGAGAGAAGGAGAAACTTGACTCAGGACCAGAGGGGTTCTTAGATTATGTATTGATGGAAAAGAATTTTAGTATGTGCCAGTCAGAGGTTTATTTAGGAAAGTAGATATACAAGGTATCTCAAAATGAGAATATAGGGTATCTATCTATCTATCTATCTATCTATCTATCTATCTATCTATCTATCTATATATATATATAGAGAGAGAGAGAGAGAGAGAGAGAAATGGTACATTCAAGAAACAATATGTGTTTCTTGACATGAACAAGAAATATAGATTTAAAAGAGAATGAAGGCCATCTTGAGAACAAGAGACACATTTTTAGGGTTCCTGACTCTTCTTTTAAAGGAAACTTGGTGAGAGGTGGGTATAAAAGGATTTGTAGAAATGATATCAGTCTGGTGATCTCAAGATGTTTTATGGTAGTCTGGTCAATCTCAGGATCCTTGGGCTGATGAGTCTTTATTATCTTGTCAACAGAGGTGGAAAGTCCCTCTAAATTACAGGTCTCTCAAAATATCATATTTCTCTTTATTTAATCTATTTGTTGGTGTGGGTAATTAACAGTGAAAAAGGTAGATTTACATGTTTCCCAGGATTTTTGGAGTAGCAGACCTGGCTGTTTGAAACATACTGGCTTGGGTAGTGATAGGCCCGGAAATGTATATGGAACTTCTGAATTAAAATTTATTTTTCTTTCTTTATGTCTCCTTTGTGCCTATTTAATTATTTTTAAAAATTTCTCCTACCTCAGTGCTACTTCTGTTTCATCCTCTCAGACTTGAATTTTTAAAGTCTTTTTTAAAAAAAATTATTTTATAGTTATCGGCAGACACAACGTCTTTGTATGTGGTGCTGAGGATCGAACCCGGGCCACATGCACTACCGCTAAGCCATATCCCCAGCCCTTTTTGAAGTCTTATGCAAGAGAATTTTAGCATCATTAGCCACAGTATCAAGGAATTTCAAATGTAAAAAGTAGACTTTTAGAAGTTGGAAGACAGCAGATATGGCACCTCCATTCACTGAACAGCAGCACTCAGCACAGCTCCTCGCCTTTGCTGCTATACTATCATCCTTCACAAGTTGCCAGAAATCCAAGGACTTGATGTATGTCTTGATGCCCTGTATAGAAGTGCCCAACTTTTCAGCAATTTCTTCAATTGACATATCATCAAGACCAAAATGTTGTCGGTAATCCTTCAAGCACTTCTCTTGTTCAGGCAAATCAAAGCCATAGATAATGGGCATGAAGGGGACAAAGGCCAAAGATGCTGACTTCACAGCATCCAACCAGATCTTCTCCTTGAGAAAATCTCTCTTTATTTCAATAGAAGCCTCAGAAAAAGTGGGCAACAGAAGTGCAAAGATATGACGCTTGTGAGCAGGGAGATCCTTCAGCAGAGTCTCCTGTAGTCTTGGGAAATCAAAATTATCCAAGTTAAAATTAGAGACTAGGAAGATGCATGGTTCAGGTACTCCAATGTTACTGAGATTAGCCAGACAGTTGTCTCGAATCTGCTGAAGGACTCTCTCCCTTTTGAAGGACTTCGGTTTGGTTACCTCTTCATTATATAAATCACTGTCCACTTTGGTTCTAACAAAGTAAAACTTCTTCCCCTCCTCTTTGATTTTCTGAGCCAGGAGAGCATCATTGAAGCTGAACCGGGAGGAGGAAATGATGATAAAGAAGTCATAGCTAGTAAATCCCACAGTTTCTAGATAAGTGTCTGGAAGGAAATTGGGAGTCCCTGTTCCAGGCAGGTCCCAGAAGGTCACCTTGGGATATTTTGGATGTTGATAGGGGGTCTTCTCCATGGTGGTCTCTACAACTCCAGTGTTAGCTGCTCCCTCCTCTTCAGAACTAACCCCTCGCAGGGCATTGATGAAACTGGACTTGCCAGTCCCAGACTCCCCTATTACAGCCACCTCCAGAATACAATTTTCTGCTGCAGCAAGTGATTCCTGAATCTTGTCCACTGCATCATTTAGCTTCCCTTCCTGAAGGTCTTTTTGAATATTACTGAGGGTTTCTGGAGAGAGGATGCCTCCTACCTTACTAATTAATGTGGAGTAGTGAGGCATAAAGTCGTTAGCCAAATGCTGAAAATTCTTTATCGATGAATTCTTCAGGAAGTCTACGATGGACTGATCCATGATAGTTAACTGTGGAAGGTCTGGGGGAAAGGATACAGAAGGAAGAAGTAATAAGAATGGAGTACCATTTTTTCATGTACTTGTTGATTGATTATATATCCTCCTCTGAGAAGTGTCTGTTCAGGTCCTTGGCCCATTTGTTGATTGGGTTATTTGTTATCTTATTGTCTAATTTTTTGAGTTCTTTGTATACTC